CTCCTCTCTACAAGAACAATGGAAAACAATAGATAGATGCTCTCTCTACAAGAACGGCAGCAGTGCTCCCCTTGCCTACAGGCTGCGTAGATAGACTTCCTTCCAAAGATTACTTCCCCCAAAAGAAATTGGGGGAAGTAATAACATTTTTTTAAGGCAAGGTCTCTTGAATGGCCTAGAACTAGGAATGTAGATCTCGTTGGCCTCAAACTCAGAGATCCGCCTGCCTCTACCTCCAGAGCGCTGGATTAAAGGTGTGCACCCCCACCGCCCGGCGTGTGTCATCATGCCCAGCTGTACTTTAGTTTTTGAAGTCGTGATGTCTGTCCTGAACCCAGAGCTCATCTTCTTGGTGACAGTCTGGCCAGCAAGCCTCAAGGACCCACCTTGTCTCTACTTCCCCAGCTCTGGGACTACAGCTGTTCTTGGCTGCACTCTAAGTTTGTATGTGGATGCAGGGGATCCACATTCAGTGCTTGTGTGGTAAGTGTTCTTCTGGCTGAACCTTGATGTGATAGAATGAAACGGCACATTACTTATGTGCTCTTTATTCCCCAAATCAGCCATCTCAGGGCAAATTTCATCAGAGCACCGTCTTATCACGTACCTGATTGTTTCTCAAAATTCCTAAGGCCAGACATCGGGCACAAGGAAAAGTCTGAGAAACTCTAGCAGCTAAGAGGAGGCTAAGCAGATACAGACACTACTGGAGGTAGTGTGGAGCTCACATCCAAGACAGAAAGGGATGGTAGGTGAGGACCAGGAGGTCTGACTATGTTATGCAATTTAGTTACTAATAACGTGCCAGTGTTGGTTTCTTTCTTCTTTGCTTTGTCTTTTTGGTTCTTTGAGATGGGGTCAAACTTGCTGTGTAGTCAACAATGGCCTTGAACTCTGGATCCTCTTGACTTTCTCAAATACTGAATTCCAAGTGTGAGCAACTACACCTGACTTCAACTTTGGCATCTTAAATGTAACCAGTGTACATACTCACGCAAGATGTATATTCAAAGACTGTCTTAGTTAGGCTTTCTATTGCTGCGATGAGACACCATGACCAAAATCAAGTTGGAGAGGAAAGGGTTTATTTGGCTTATACTTCAGCATCATAGACCATCCTTGAAGGAAGTCAGGACAGGAACTCGAACTGGGCAGGAACCTGGAGGCAGGAGCTGATGCAGATCCCTTGAGAGGCACTGCTTAGTGGCTTGCTGCTCATGGCTTGCTCAGCCTGCTTCTTTTTTTTTTTTTTTTTATAAAACCCAGGACCAGCAGCCTAGGGATGGCCCCGCCCACAACAGACTTGGCCCTTCCCCAAATGTACACCAAATAAGAAAATGCCTTACAGCGGGATCTTTTTGTTGTTGGATTTTTTTTTTTTGAGACACCCTTTCTCTGCTTAGTCCTGGCTGTCTTGGAACTCACTCTGTAGACCAGGCTGGCCTTGAACTCACAGAGATCCGCCTGGCCTTACCGTTGGATCTCAGGGAGGCATTTTCTCAACTGAGGTTCCCTCCCTCCTCTCTGATGACTCTAGCTTGTGTCAAGTTGACATAAAACTAGCCAGTACAAAGATTTAACTGTGTGTGAGTGTGTGCGTGAACACATGTGTGTGTGTGTGAACACATGTGTGTGTGTGAGTGTGAACACATATGTGTGAGCCCATGGAGAACAGAAGAGGTCATCAGATCCTCTAGAACTGGAGTTGTGCACCCTTTTGACCATGTGGATACTGGGAATCAAACTGAGTCCTCTGGAAGATCAGGCAGTGCTCTTCACCACGGAACCATGCACCAGCCCACTAATGCAAGATACCGATAAGGGGAAACTATGGAGAAGTATCCAAGAACTCTAAAGCTACTCTAAAAAATAAAGTCCATTTAAAAGTAAAGGTGAATGACGATGAGCCAGGGCTGGCAGGTAGGGATGTACTCCTTTAATCCCAGCACTTGGGAGGGCAGAGGCAGGTAGATCTCGGAGTTTGAGGCCAGCCTGGTCTACAGAGTGAGTTCCAGGACAGACAGGGGTGGGGTGGGCTGGAAAGATGCCTCAGTAGAGCACTGCCTGATCTTCCAGAGGATCTAGAATTTGATTCCCTCCACTCGCTTTTAACCTTCTGTAAACTCCAGTTCCAAGGGATCTGATGCCCTCTTCTGGCTTCCACAGGCACTGCATGCACATGGAGCACAAATATATATGCAGGCAAACACCCATGCACATAAAAATAAGTAAATAAATTTTAAAAAGAGTAAAAGGCAGTAAGACTTTGCCCACATGACCCAATTGTATTCCCAGTAGCCTTCTTTTTTTTTTTTTTTTTTTTTTTTGGCTTTTCGAGACAAGGTTTCTCTGTGTAGCCCTGGCTCTCCTGGAGCTCACTCTGTAGACAAGGCTGGCATCGAACTCACAGAGATCCACCTGTCTCTGCCTCCCAAGTGCTGGGATTAAAGATGTGTGCCACTACCACCCGGCCAACCAGTAGCCTCTTGATATTTAGATTTTGATATTAGATATTTAGATTTAGATATTGATATTTAGTTCTTGCCACATGAGTTTGGGCCCCATAAATATCCACTAGCCAGTAAGATAAAGAAATAATTATAGCCAGGTGGTGGTGGCCCACGCCTTTAATACCAGCACTCCGGAAGCCAAGGCAGGCTAATCTCTGTGAGTTCGAGGCTAGTCTAGGCTACAGAGTAAATTCCAGGAAAGGCAAAAAGCTACACAGAGAAACCCTGTCTCGAAAAAGACAACAACAACAAAAAAAAAGAAAGAAAGAAAGAAAGAAAGAAAGAAAGAAAGAAAGAAAGAAAGAAAGAAAAGGAAAGAAAAAAGAAAAAGAAAAGAAAAAAGAAAAGAAAAGAAATAATTATAAAACTATATTGTTAGGTCAGATATGGTGGCATGCGCCTTTAATCCCAGCACTTGGGAAGGAGAGGCAGGTGGATCTCTGTGAGTTCAAGGCCAGCATGGTCTACAGAGCCAGATCCAGGACAGGCACCAAAACTACACAGAGAAACCCTGTCTGGAAAAAAAAAGAAAAAGAAAAAAGAATAGTGGAACAAAGAACACTATAAGATATACAGAGAACAGGCATAAATTCAAGTAAATCAAGAACGACATCAGCTGTAAGTGATATAATGTACAAAAGCAAGGCATGCTGGCATACACCTGTAATTTCAGCACTCAAGAAGTTGAGGCAGGAGGATTGCAAGTTTAAGACTAGCTTGTTCTACAGACTTAGCTCCTACATTGACAAAACAAACAGCAACAATAATAAAAGTGCATATATGCCCCCTCTTCACCCTGTCATCCACATCCACAACCCTAAAAAAAAATCAGGAGCTGTTAGATTTGTTTACAAAAAAAAGTACTCAATTGTAAATGGCATACCTTAGATCCTAAGGCCTAAATAGGTTGGAGGTGAATGATTTTAACACAGCAGGGGGTTGTGGGGTGGGAGGAGAGGAGAGGGCTTAGTGAGATAAGGCCATGAAACCTGACAATGAGTATAATCCCTGGGATTCACACTGCGGAAGGAGAGAACCGACCCCCTCAAGTTACTCTCTGACCACCACACATGTGCCCCATAAATAAATAAATAAATAAATAAATGTTGTTTTTTTTTTAATGTAAGGGATCTGGAGAGATGGCTGAGTGTTAAGAGCACTGGCTGCTCTTCCAAAGGACACAGTTCAATTCCCAGCACCCAGATCCAGCCATCTGGAACTCCAGTTCCATGGCATTTGATGCCCTCTTCTGGCCTCCAGAGACACCAGACATGCAAGTGATACACAGATATACTTACAGGCAAAACACCCATACACATAAAATTGAAAAATAAAAATATGGCAGAAAAATGGATGGAACTAGAAAATATCCTGAATGGTGATATTTTATTTGTGCTGAAATGTGATTTTATTTGTATGTCAATAAAGTTGCCTGGGGATCAGAGCTAAGAGAAAGTCATTTAGCAGAAGTCTGGTAGTGGTAGCACAGGCCATTAATCCAATCACATGGCAGGCAAAAATCTATGTGTGTTCAAGAACACAGCTGAGCAGTGACCTTTAATCTCAGTACCAACCATAGAGACCTGGAGGTCTGTATAGACAGGCAGTGATGAGGAAGTCATGTGGTTGGGTTTACAGTCAATGAGAAGGCAGAACAGAAAGGCAATAAAAAGACGGGACACAGGAAGAAGGTCTCTCTCAGGGGAAGGACGGCAGTGAGTGGTAAGATAAGGCAGTCTTAGCTCTTGGCTGCTGTTCCATCTCTGGGCTTTTAACTCTTTATTTGGCTCTGTGTTTCTTATTTAATAAGACTGCTTAGAATCACATCTACATTTGGTGCCCATGTGGCAAGAATTCATTAAAAACCATTGGTGGTTACAGGCCCAGCCCACCCCCGGCCCAGCTCAGCCCTGACTCAGCCAGAGTTT